AGGTTAGGTTAGGTAGGGTTGGTTAGGTTCAGTCATATAACTACGTTAATATTAACTCCAATAAAAAAAAATAACCTCATACATAATGAAATGGGTAGCTTTATGATTTCATAAGAAAAAAATTAGAGAAAATATATTAATTCAGGAAAACTTGGCTTATTAGGCAAATCGGGCCTTGCATTGTAGGCTGAGAAGTGAGTTCTGGCTACTAGGTACGACATATATATATATATGTATATATATATATATATTATAATAATAATTATTTAAATATAAATAATTAATAATAAGTCATAATTAATGATTAAATAATTGATAATACTTAAATGAAGAAGCATAATAGCTCATTACAATAGCATTATAATATATATATATATATATATATATATATATATATATATATATATATATATATATGTCGTACCTAGTAGCCAGAACACACTTCTCAGCCTACTATGCAAGGCCCGATTTGCCTAATAAGCCAAGTTTTCATGAATTAATGTTTTTTCGTCTACCTAACCTACCTAACCTAACCTAACCTAGCTTTTTTTGGCTACCTAACCTAACCTTACCTATATATATAGGTTAGGTTAGGTTAGGTAGGGTTGGTTAGGTTCGGTCATATATCTACGTTAATTTTAACTCCAATAAAAAAAAATTGACCTCATACATAGTGAAAAGGGTAGCTTTATCATTTCATAAGAAAAAAATTATAGTAAATATATTACTTCAGGAAAACTTGGCTTATTAGGCAAATCGGGCCTTGAATAGTAGGCTGAGAAGTGAGTTCTGGCTACTAGGTACGACATATATATATATATATATATATATATATATATATATATATATATATATATATGTCGTACCTAGTAGCCAGAACACACTTCTCAGCCTACTATGCAAGGCCCGATTTGCCTAATAAGCCAAGTTTTCCTGAATTAATATATTTTCTCTAATTTTTTCTTATGAAATGATAAAGCTACCCATTTCATTATGTATGATGCTAATTTTTTTTTATTGGAGTTAAAATTAACGTAGATATATGACCGAACCTAACCAACACTACCTAACCTAACCTAACCTATCTTTATAGGTTAGGTTAGGTTAGGTAGCCGAAAAAGGTAGGTTAGGTTCGGTTAGGTAGGTTAGGTTGTCGAAAAACAATTAATTCATGAAAACTTGGCTTATTAGGCAAATCGGGCCTTGAATAGTAGGCTGAGAAGTGCGATCTGGCTACTAGGTACGACATATATATATATATATATATGTCGTACCTAGTAGCCAGAACTCACTTCTCAGCCTACTATTCAAGGCCCGATTTGCCTAATAAGCCAAGTTTTCCTGAATTAATATATTTACTATAATTTTTTTCTTATGAAATGATAAAGCAACCCTTTTCTCTATGTATGAGGTCAATTTTTATTTATTGGAGTTAAAATTAACGTAGATATATGACCGAACCTAACCAACCCTACCTAACCTAACCTAACCTATATTTATAGGTAAGGTTAGGTTAGGTAGCCAAAAAAAGCTAGGTTAGGTTAGGTTAGGTAGGTTAGGTAGACGAAAAATCATTAATTCATGAAAACTTGGCTTATTAGGCAAATCGGGCCTTGAATAGTAGGCTGAGAAGTGAGTTCTGGCTACTAGGTACGACATATATATATATATATATATATATATATATATATATATATATATATATATATATATATATATATATATATATATATATATATATATATATATGTCGTACCTAGTAGCCAGAACTCACTTCTCAGCCTACTATTCAAGGCCCGATTTGCCTAATAAGCCAAGTTTTTCTGAATTAACATATTTACTATAATTTTTTTCTTATGAAATGATAAAGCAACCCTTTTCTCTATGTATGAGGTCATTTTTTTTATTGGAGTTAAAATTAACGTAGATATATGACCGAACCTGCCCAACCCTACCTAACCTAACCTAACCTATATTTATAGGTAAGGTTAGGTTAGGTAGCCAAAAAAAGCTAGATTAGGTTAGGTTAGGTAGGTTAGGTAGACGAAAAAACATTAATTCATGAAAACTTGGCTTATTAGGCAAATCGGGCCTTGAATAGTAGGCTGAGAAGTGCGTTCTGGCTATTAGGTACGACATATATATATATATATATATATATATATATATATATATATATATATATATAATGTCGTACCTAGTAGCCAGAATGTACTTCTCAGCCTACTATGCAAGGCCCGATTTGCCTAATAAGCCAAGTTTTCCTGAATTAATATATTTTCTCTAATTTTTTTCTTATGAAATGATAAAGCTACCCATTTCATTATGTATGATGCTAATTTTTTTTATTGGAGTTAAAATTAACGTAGATATATGACCGAACCTAACCAACCCTACCTAACCTAACCTAACCTATCTTTATAGGTTAGGTTAGGTTAGGTAGCAGAAAAAGTTAGGTTAGGTTAGGTAGGTTAGGTAGTCGAAAAACAATTAATTCATGAAAACTTGGCTTATTAGGCAAATCGGGCCTTGCTTAGTAGGCTGAGAAGGGCGTTCTGGCTACTAGGTACGACATATATATATATAAATAAAAATATATATATATATATATATATATATATATATATATATATATATATATATATATATATATATATATATATATATATATAACTGAAAACTCACACCCCAAAAGTGACTCGAACCCATACTCCCAGAAGCAACGCAATTGGTATGTACAAGACGCCTTAATCCACTTGACCATCACGACCGGACATAATGAGGTGATAGCCGAGGCTATTTGAGCCACCCCACCGCCGGCACTCGGATAGTAATCTTGGGCATAGCATTTTACCAAATCACCTCATTCTTTGGGGCACACGTGAGGAACACAAATGCGAACAAGCCTGAATGGTCCCCAGGACAATATGCAACTGAAAACTCACACCCCAGAAGTGACTCGAACCCATACTCCCAGAAGCAACGCAACTGGTATGTACAAGACGCCTTAATCCACTTGACCATCACGACCGGACATAATGAGGTGATAGCCGAGGCTATTTGAACCACCCCACCGCCGGCACTCGGATAGTAATCTTGGGCATAGCATTTTACCAAATCACCTCATTCTTTGGGGCACACGTGAGGAACACAAATGAGATCAAGCCTGAATGGTCCCCAGGACAATATGCAACTGAAAACTCACACCCCAGAAGTGACTCGAACCCATACTCCCAGAAGCAACGCAACTGGTATGTACAAGACGCCTTAATCCACTTGACCATCACGACCGGACATAATGAGGTGATAGCCGAGGCTATTTGAACCACCCCACCGCCGGCACTCGGATAGTAATCTTGGGCATAGCATTTTACCAAATCACCTCATTCTTTGGGGCACACGTGAGGAACACAAATGCGAACAAGCCTGAATGGTCCCCAGGACAATATGCAACTGAAAACTCACACCCCAGAAGTGACTCGAACCCATACTCCCAGAAGCAACGCAACTGGTATGTACAAGACGCCTTAATCCACTTGACCATCACGACCGGACATAATGAGGTGATAGCCGAGGCTATCACCTCATGAGGATGAGGTGATTTGGTAAAATGCTATGCCCAAGATTACTATCCGAGTGCCGGCGGTGGGGTGGTTCAAATAGCCTCGGCTCTCACCTCATTATGTCCGGTCGTGATGGTCAAGTGGATTAAGGCGTCTTGTACATACCAGTTGCGTTGCTTCTGGGAGTATGGGTTCGAGTCACTTCTGGGGTGTGAGTTTTCAGTTGCATATTGTCCTGGGGACCATTCAGGCTTGTTCGCATTTGTGTTCCTCACGTGTGCCCCAAAGAATGAGGTGATTTGGTAAAATGCTATGCCCAAGATTACTATCCGAGTGCCGGCGGTGGGGTGGTTCAAATAGCCTCGGCTATCACCTCATTATGTCCGGTCGTGATGGTCAAGTGGATTAAGGCGTCTTGTACATACCAGTTGCGTTGCTTCTGGGAGTATGGGTTCGAGTCACTTCTGGGGTGTGAGTTTTCAGTTGCATATTGTCCTGGGGACCATTCAGGCTTGTTCGCATTTGTGTTCCTCACGTGTGCCCCAAAGAATGAGGTGATTTGGTAAAATGCTATGCCCAAGATTACTATCCGAGTGTCGGCGGTGGGGTGGTTCAAATAGCCTCGGCTATCACCTCATTATGTCCGGTCGTGATGGTCAAGTGGATTAAGGCGTCTTGTACATACCAGTTGCGTTGCTTCTGGGAGTATGGGTTCGAGTCACTTCTGGGGTGTGAGTTTTCAGTTGCATATTGTCCTGGGGACCATTCAGGCTTGTTCACATTTGTGTTCCTCACGTGTGCCCCAAAGAATGAGGTGATTTGGTAAAATGCTATGCCCAAGATTACTATCTGAGTGCCGGCGGTGGGGTGGTTCAAATAGCCTCGGCTATCACCTCATTATGTCCGGTCGTGATGGTCAAGTGGATTAAGGCGTCTTGTACATACCAGTTGCGTTGCTTCTGGGAGTATGGGTTCGAGTCACTTCTGGGGTGTGAGTTTTCAGTTGCATATTGTCCTGGGGACCATTCAGGCTTGTTCGCATTTGTGTTCCTCACGTGTGCCCCAAAGAATGAGGTGATTTGGTAAAATGCTATGCCCAAGATTACTATCCGAGTGCCGGCGGTGGGGTGGTTCAAATAGCCTCGGCTATCACCTCATTATGTCCGGTCGTGATGGTCAAGTGGATTAAGGCGTCTTGTACATACCAGTTGCGTTGCTTCTGGGAGTATGGGTTCGAGTCACTTCTGGGGTGTGAGTTTTCAGTTGCATATTGTCCTGGGGACCATTCAGGCTTGTTCGCATATATATATATATATATATATATATATTCGCTATATATATATATATATATATATATATATATATATATATATATATATATATATATATAATGTGTGTGTAATAACTAAATGTTGCAACACTGGCATATGTCTACAGTATTGTACAACCCATTCTGGCCCCACGTGAAGATGGCGTGGAAGAACAAGGACCATCCCAACATGCATTTTCTCTTTTATGAAGACCTGAAAACTGACGTAATGAAAGAACTAAGAACTCTGAATGAGTTCTTGGGCACCCGCCTCACCCAGCAACAACTTGATAATGTAAGTCTACTGAACTTTGTTTGGTTACTAAGCAGAGTTGTTATTATGGTACAGGAAAATGTTTTATGTTATTACATGTGACTTTACATTTATCACAGCTCTATTATTTCATAACACAGGTGTTTTGGGCAGTTTCAGGCCTCTATATTTCCTCATAGATGTGAGGTAGTTAGTGACACTGGGATGAGAAGTTGTAGCTTGAGAATATGAGTGTTAGGAGAGTAAAATGTTGATGGAGTGTTATGTTGAAGCATCATGCCAGGAAGTGGCATGAACTAACCGTTTACAGGGGACTTATCTCTCAGAACAATTATCTTCTTATAGACTCTCAGAAGAAAAAACATTTGTCCAGTTAAGCCTGAACCACCCGGGGGTGGTATAGTGACAATTGTCCCATAAGCCCCCAGGAAGACACGGGGTGGACGTCTTTTCCCCATAAACTCACACTCATTCTCACATCCCCCCCCCCCCATCCCACACACACACGACGGGAATTAAATTTCACGTAGCTGGAAGACAGTAGAGTTTGGGAGAATATGATCACCACATTCAAGATTCTCAAAGTGATTGATGGGATAGACAAGTCAGTTTATTTAACACAAGAGTCACACGCACTAGTTGATAATATAGTTGATTACAGCAGATACTAGTAGAGCTGATTACAGTAAAGAGGACTACAGACGGATAAGGGACTACCTGGGAGAAGTGCAGTGGGAGAAGGAAATTAGAGTTGTTGTTGTTTAAGATTCGCTACCTGGAACAAAGTTCCAAGTAGCACGGGCTATGGTGAGCCCGTAGTGGACTGTATATATATATATATTCGAAATTAGAGGAAAAACAGTGCAAGATATGATGAACCAAGTCATATGAAAATGCGAGGAGGCTGAAGAGAGATTTATTCCAACAGTAAAGGAAAAAAGCAGGAGAGCATATGATAACCCATGGTTTAATAGACAGTGTCAGGAAGCAAAAATGAGAAGCAGGAGAGAGTGGAGGAAATACAGAAGACGAAGGACAGAGGACAACAGGATTAGATGTAACAGAGCTAGGAACGATTACATTAAGACGAGTATTGGAAATAAATTACGAGAATGATATTTCAATCAAGGCGAAGAAACAACCTAAACTACTACATATAAGAAGGAAGATGTCGATAAATGACCAAGTGACAAGACTGAGGAAAACACAAGGGTCATACACAGAAAGTGACAAGGAAATCTGCGAGGTATTGAATGCAAGTTTCCATGGAGTGTTCACAACCGAGCCTGAGCAGCTCTCATTGTTAGAAGGGATTACTCTAGACAGAAGACTATAAGATATAGAGGTGACAGCAGAGGAGGTAATGAAACAGTTGACAACACTGGATGCAACTAAAGCAGCTGGACCGGACAAACTAAACTTTACCGTAATTACTAAAAGAGGCAGCGCAGGCCCTCAGCGTGCCTCCAGCAGTGATATTTAATGAGTCACTTATGTCAGGAGAATTGCCCAGTTGCTGTAAAAAGGAAAATGTCATACCGATTTTCAAGAAAGGAGATAGGGAGGAGGCACTCAACTACAGACCCATATCACTGACAAGCATCCCCTGCAAAATACTTGAAAGAATAATTAGGGTAATACTTGTTACACACTTGGAGAGCATTGAGTTTGTAAACAAATGCCAACTTGGGTTCTGGACAGGGAAATCATGCCTTACAAACCTTTTGCAATTTTATGATAAAATAACAAGGATAAGGCAGGACAGAGAAGGCTGGGCAGACAGCATATTTCTTGACTGCCAGAAGGCCTTTGATACAGTACCGCACATGAGACTGCTATACAAACTTGAGAGGCAGGCAGGAGTAAGCGGAAAGGCCCTAGCATGGGTGAGGAACTACCTAACAGGAAGGAGCCAGAGAGTAATGGTAATGGGCGAGATGTCGAACTGGTGAACAGTAACGAGTGGAGTACCTCAAGGATCGGAGCTGGAACCAATCCTCTTTCTAATTTACGTGAATGATATGTTCACAGAAGTGGAATCCTACATGACAATGTTCGCGGGTGATGCAAAATTAGGGAGAAGAGTTGTGACAGATGAGGATTGTAGGACTCTCCAAGAGGACCTGGACAGGTTGCAGAGATTGTCAGAGAAATGGCTACTGTAGTTCAACACGAGTAAATGTAATGTTATGGAAATGGGATCAGGTGATAGGCGGCCAAAGAGACAGTACACAATGAAAGGGCACTGCCTACCTGTAACGACTCGAGAAAGAGACCTGGGAGTGGACGTAACACCTAACCCAACTCCTAAGGTGCATATAAATAGGATAACGCCAGCAGCGAATAGGATAACTACACTGGCGAAAGTAAGAACTTCATTAAGAAACCTACGTGAGGAGGATTTTAGGGCACTTTACACTGCCTACGTGAGACCAGTCTTAGAGTATGCCGCACCATCATGGAGTCCCCACCTGAAGAAACACATAAAGAAACTGGAAAAGGTTCAGAAGGTTGCGAGGAGGCTTGTCCCAGAGTTGTGAGGGATGAGATATGAAGATCGCCTGAAAGACCTGAAAGAACTGAACATTACGACACTAGAAAAAAGAAGGGAGAGAGGGGATATGATAGGAACAAATAAAATACTCAGGGGAATTGACAAAGTGGAGATAGATGAAATGTTCACACGCAATAGTAACAGAACGAGGGGAACATGGGCGGAAGCTGGAAACTCAGATGAGTCACAGATATTAGGAAGAATTCTTTTAGCGTGAGGAAAGTGGAAAAATGGAATGCATTTAAGGAACAGGTTGTAGAAGAAAACCCTATTCATAATTTTAAAACTAGATATGATAGGGAAATGGGAAAGGAGTTATTGTTGTAAACAACCGATGGGTAGAAAGACGGGATCCATGAGTCAATGCTCGATCCTGCATGCACAAATTGGTGAGTACAAATAGGTGAGTACACATGCACACACGCATACACATAAAGACACAGGGATTAATGCAACAGAGCTAGGAATGAATACTCTAATGTAAAGAGAATATCAGAAAGGAATTAGGAAAACGATATGGTAATGAAAGCGAGAGATCAACCTAAATTACCACATAGTCACATAAGAAGGAAAATGTCGGTGAACGACCAAGTGACAAGACTAAGGAAAACACATGGGACATATACAGAAAGCGACAAGGAAATATGTGAGGTACCGAATGCCAGTCTCCATGGAGTGTTCACAACCGAGCCTAAGCAGCTCCTATTGTTAGAAGAGGAGATGACCCCATGATGAGAGACTAACGGAAATAGAGTTGACAGGAAAGGAGGTAATGAAACAGCTGACAATACTGGATGGACCAGACAATGTATCACCATGGATACTAAAAGATGCAGCGCAGGCTCTCAGCGTGCCTCTAATAAGGATCTATTATGAGTCCCATACGAAGGGAGAGTTGCCCAGTTGCTGGAAGAAGTAAAACGTGGTTCCAATTTTCAAAAAATTATATAGGGAAGAGGCACTTAACCTTGACCAGTATCACTTACAATTATCCCCTGTAAAGTATATGAAAGAATAATCAGGTTAAGACTGGTTACACACTTAGAGAACTTTATGTACGTAAATAAACACCAACATGCTTTCAGTGAAGAGAAATCATGCCTAAGAAGTCTTCTGGAATTCTATGATAAAGTAACAAGAATAAGGGAGATCAAGGAAGGATGGGCAGACTCCATATTTTTGGACTGCTAAAAAGCCTTAGACAGAATACCACACGGGATGCTGCTATACAAACTTGAGAGGCAGGCGGAAGTAAGCAGAAAAACCCAAGTTGGACAAGGAATTATTTAACAGGCAGGAGCCAGAGAGTAACAATCAGAGGCGAGAAGTTAGACTGGCGAAGCGTAACGAATGGAGTATCTCAAGGATCGGTGCTGTTCTATTTCTAATATACGTGAACGACCTGTTTACAGGAGTAAGTAAGTAAGTAATTATCAAAAGAAGGCACCAAACCGGGAAGGCTATGTAGCACCATCAAATGTGTAGAATAATCAGAGGGCGCTAAATATCACCAAGAGTGCCAATACGAGAACAAAAACGCATGAGGCGAATGATACCAAAAGTATCCGAGTCACCAAGAATTCTATTGAGGGACAGGTGACCGCGAGGGGCGGTCGGAAAGCAAGACACACTCTCGTCCTGGAAGTCAGAACGTTCAAGAAGGACATGCACGACCGTAAGAGGGACAATGCAATTAGGACAATAAGGAGCAGGGCGGCACTCCATCAAGTGACCATGGGTTAAGCGAGTATAGCCAATACGCAACCTCGCCAGAGTTGTTTCCCATCACCGGTTATGGTGGAAGGAGGACGGCTACGAGGAAACACAACACTTAAGAGCACGTAGTTTGTGACTAGTAACAGACGACCAAGAAGCCTGCCAACGGGTTAGGACGGAGGAATGGATAACCGGGTAAAAGTCGGAATATGGAATTCGTTTACGAGAGATGGGACAAGAGCGGACAGCTCCCTTGGCGGAAACATCCGCACGCTCATTTAAAGACACACCAATATGGCTGGGAACCCAACAAAACTCAACCGATTTAAATTTACTGTGAACAAAATACAGCCAATGCTGGATCTCGACAACTACTGGATGAACCGGATTAAAGGACCCGAGAGCCATGAGGGCACTACGAGAGTCAACAACAACTACAAAGGAAGACTGACAACGAGAAAGAAGGAGACGAAGAGCATAGAGAATAGCATAAAGCTCCACTGTAAAGATGCTAGTCTCCGGAGGTAAGCGACACATATAAGTGTGATCAGGAAAAACAACAGAGTAGCCATCACCGTCCACAGACTTAGTCCCATCGGTGAAGACAGAAACGGAGCAGGAGTGAGAAGAGAAGTGCTCAAGGAAAACACGTTTTAGAACCGTAGGAGGGGTAAAAGCTCTAGTGATGCGGGTCAAGGATGTACAAAACCGCGGAAGGGGGACTCTCCACGGGGGCAAAGAAGAAACAACA